AACTGAAAATTGTATTCAGCATCAGGAGCCAAAAAATCTAATTATCCTTCCTTCATCATGAGATAAGAAACAAATAAATTTAAATTGAAATCGAGGAACCCTTTAACTAGCCTTAAAGAGCCTTACAAAAGAAACTTTCTCACTTTCAATTTATTTTAACATCAATTTCCGGCTTTTTTTGTTGGCACGGCTTTTGTAGAGAGAACAGAAATAAATACCTTTTTAAAACCTAATTCACCAAAAAGTCTGAGAGGCTCCATATTAGTTATAGACATTATTATTCAACTCACATGATTCTCGTTTTCATCTTGAGCATTATTTCTTCGTGATATTCTATTTTTTTTTTGCTAGCAGTGCCATTGTATCAATATATGATTTCGTGGTACTCCTTCAAAGTTGTTTTGCTTTCACTCTTGCGGAATTGTGGGTGTGTGGACAGAGATGATTTATAGAACTTTACAGAACTTTCAGATTTAACGGTTAAAAAACATTCGAAGAAACCGTTGAATTTTGAATTTTAAGAAACCGGTAGATTTTGAATTAAGGGATATCGTTACATTTGAATTTTGAGATACTGTTAAATTTTGAATTTTTGAAACCCGTTAAAATTTGAATTTTAAGAAACCGATAAACTTCAAAATTAAAGAAACCTTTAAATTTTGAATTTCAAAAATCCTAGTTTCCAACCCTGTAAAACCGTTTCTTTGCGGGCAAAAGTGAAGATGTTTATGATTTCTTATTCGTCATAGATTTTATATTCCTAATACGTTAAGAAAAGAAAATGAAAGTTTGACTCGAATGAGATCTAGATTCTCATTTATAATTTATTTTAATAGCCTTAAAGCTTCTTAAACAATTATTGTGATGGAGACTAAGTAATCATAATCAAGATAAGGACTTCGAGTGATGTGGAAGTGGATAGAAATAAAGAAATTTTTATCGTTTCGATTCTTTAACGATAATTTATCGAATTAAGTTAATTAAATGGTTGATTACTTTTTCATTAGTTGAGTGATGGGGATTTGAATGGATTGATTTTATTTTGTAAGTTTAAAAAACTTTAATAATTTTGAATTCAAAAATTTAAATTATAAAGGTTTCTTAAAAATTCAAAATTTAACGTTTTGATAAAATTCAAAATTTAACGGATTTCAAAATTTTGAATTTTAACGGATTTTCAAAATTTAATTTCAACAGATTTTTGATTTTTTATTATTATTGTTAATATTTTATTATTATTATTATTATTACATTATTACACGCTTTTATTTAACTCACTCTGTTATGGAGCGTCAAAACTTGTAATCGATTTTTCGATCACTTCTCCTGCTACAATCAAGTTCAAATTTATTATGTACACGTATTTCCGGTGACAATACATTATTTTAACACTTTGGAACCACAAAAATGCTTAATTATAGTACAATTTAAGTAAAACTTTTTTATATGGGAAAAAATCCAATGTCAATGACATAATAATAATTTTGATTTTTTTAAAATATTATACTTGAAATGCTCAAAAGTCATTTACATGATTCATTATAGTTAATTAATATTATTAATTATTAATTATACTATAAAGCACTATAAAGTTGAACAGCTAAAGATATTCTGGTAAGACAAAAAAATTGACAAGTAATTTTTTCATGAATATTTGTAAGTAAAAATTTGAATTTCAAAAAAAACCGTTAAGCGCAAGTCAGTTACGTTTTTAATACAAAATAACTATTGATATGCAAATATGTATTTAGCACACATCGTTTGAGCAGAATATATATGCTTTTAATGTATTAGATTGATTTTTAACAATTCACCAACATTTAATTAAATTCACTTTCTTATTAACGGCTTGACGCAAGTTTGACGTATTTTTGCATAACATATAAATGACATTCATTAAATTTGAAAAATCCGTTATAAATACTTAAGTATTAAGTAGGAATGGCACGAATAAACACAAAATCTTTAAGATTGATTTTTAATGTACTTTACTAATTGATGTTCAGGACACTTTTAAGAGTTTAATGTGTTTCCAATTATGAATTAAATTATATAAAACGAATGAAAAATTTTGATAGTCTTTACTAATTACCCATTAAAAACTGGTAATAAATAAATAGTTGAACGAAACGGAATTTTGGAAGTTGAATCGATTTGGAGATTTTATAAGACTAAAAAGCAGAGGTCGAAGCGAACTTGGTTCGCCAAGTTCAACTTGCCAAAGTCGAACTGTAGCGAGAAAAAATTTTTTCTATTCGCCTTAGCGAACCATAGCGAACTCAATTTTATTTTTTTCGCTATAGCGAACTATTAGCGAACTTAATTTTTCAAACGCAATCAGACATCTCTTTACATGAAGCCAAAAAATTTTTTCTAGTTCGCCAATAGTTCGCTATAGCGAACTTTAAAAAATTAAGTTCGCTAATAGTTCGCTAAAGCGAAAAAGTGAGTTCGCTATAGGTCGCTAAGGCGAAAAGAAAAAAAAAATTCTCGCTACAGGTCGACTTTAGCAAGTTGAATTTTTAGCGAAGCGAACTCGCTAAAAACTCGCTTCGCTATGCTCGCTTCGACCTCTGCTAAAAAGTAGAAAATAAAATACTTTAAAAAAAAACTTTTTTTAAAAAAGCACGCTTTCATTTCCGATTACAGAACTAAAAAGGAGAAAATAATTTTTTTTGCTAAGCTCTCAAATTTGATACAAAATTTTATGACTCAAAATAAAAGCGTGGGGCGCTCTTATAAATATCACTAAATCTTGAATTTGTATGTTTACATAAGCGTTAGGTCTTCAATGTTTATAGGTTTGTCTAAGGAGAATGATGAGCCCTTACAAATTATGGTAAATCTGAGACGGTAGACTTGATCTCCATGAGACTAATGTAGAGTTTTCTGTGTGGCACTAGAGATCAAGTCTTACTCTCCTGCTTAATCTAACTAGTTCCTTTGTGTCAAAAAATAATTTGAGATCAAAACTTTAAAAGGTCTTTCGTTTTAATACAAAAGTTGAATTAAGAAATGGATAATTAAACTGAATTAAAATAAATTTTGGAAAATCTAGATCTAGTTTAAATTTAACGCCCCACGCTTTTATTTTGAGTCATAAAATTTTGTATCAAATTTGAGAGCTTAGTAAAAAAAATTATTTTCTCCTTTTTAGTGCTCTGTAATCGGAAATGAAAGCGTCCTTTTTTAAAACAAGTTTTTTTTTAAATAAAAGTTATAAAATTTTTATGGAATCTTTTCAAACCACTAAGCATACATCATAACCTACAAATGTAGACAAACAAAACAAAAAATAAAAACTTATTCAGAGCAACAGAAAAAAATGATTAGTGACTCATTTGATGGGTCACATACACAACCATGAATTATATTCCGATAATAACAATAATCATATATGATCGTCTTAACAACTCCTTTGCTTGGTCGCTTTAATAAGCACTTAATACATCCCATAATCATCCTTTCATAATTGACGTATAAATTTCCCTCGTGTAAGCATGTGAGAAAATTTGCACTAATATCCACAGCACAAATAAAATATATAAAAATAAACTTTTCTTCCGAGTAAAATGCATGAATGAAAAACTTAAAAACCTTCCGGTGTGCTTTACTGTGATGAAATAATGAGTAATTAAACTTACCGTGAGTAAATTTCTCACTTACATTTTGAGGGATTTACTTTAATTTGTTTCTTTGGTAGTTCTTATTGTGGGATTCAATTCTGTTGTCTGGTGTGTTTCAATGGCACAACAAGGGATGTCTAGCCAGTAATGTCATCAAACGAGTGACTCAAATCGCATTTTGAATTTTTTATTTGAATTTTTTTGAAGACGTAACTGATAAATGAGCCCAACAATCATATTTCAAATAGCAAGGACAATTCACTCAAGTGGAACCAAAGTTTTAAGTTCTTAATTCTAAGAGAGAAGATTAAAAGGAAAGGAAATGCTGAAAGAAAAATATGAGATGCACAGGACTGGAAACGAATCCATAAATTATCCCATTTTTTGTGTGAAACGAAAGCTTTGTGATTTTGGGAATTCAATTATATTTAGTTGCTTCACGGGCAGTATATAAATTTAATTTCATGAACTAATATCGTCTTAGTTGTGAACAATTCGACATCAAATCTTCATTTTCGACTAGACTTTTCGTACTCATCGTCCTACAATCATTTTTACATCTGATTGTCTCATTTATCGATCTTTTTGACCATGAACTTCAATTATTTATTCAATCCAATATAAAAGTAATGGTCAGTCTCTGAAATTAATGATTATGACTAAAAATACACGCAAACACAAACACATGGCTAAGTGAAACTTTATTGCCAATGATAAGATAATTAATTCTGCCAGATTTTGTGTGTTTTATGTGAAATAGACTTTGTCTGTGCATTTATTGAGCAGATATAAATGTTTTATGAGTTATGCATTAAAGGTCGAGAGATGTATTGAATTGAGAGCGTTTAAAATATTATGGTGAACAAGCTGCTGAACTCTCCTTAATACTTGATGTAGCTGAATTCAGCTTGAATTGTTGAACAAGCTGAATTCGCCTCAAATTGCTGATCAAGCTGAATTCACCTCAAATTTCTATGCTAGCTGAATTCGTCCTAAATTACCGATCAAGCTGAATTCATCTCAATTGACTGAACTAGCTTAATTCACTTAATCTTGCTAAACTAGCCGAATTCAGCTTGAATTGTTGAACAAGTTCCATTCGTCTTAAATTACTGAATTAAGCTGAATTGACCGAACTAGATGAATTCAGCTCAATTGACTGAACTAGCTTAATTCATTTAAACTTGCTAAACCAGCTGAATTCATCTTGAATTGTTGAGCAAGCTGAATTCATCTTAAATTACTGATCAAGCTGAATTCAGCTCAATTGACAGAACAAGCTGAATTCAGCTCAATTGACAGAACAATCTGAATTCTAGATATTTAAATAACTTAACTAATTCATTTCTATTTCTTATAATTTTTCATTCACAGGGCACAACATTATGGCCCAGAAAGTATCAATCAATCGTGAATCCAATAAAATTCAATCAACGAAAAGCAAAAGACGAAGAAAATGTCACGGCACATTGAAATCTCATTCGCCATCGATGCAGCAAACGGTTGTAGAAGAGCAGTCAAGAAACATTGACAAATGTTCATCCACTGATGATCTTGAAATGCTCGAAGCCAATAAATTCAATAAATTGCAAAAGCATCGATGGAAGCTTAATGAAAATGTGGATATATCCAGGTCATCTAGGTGCCTAATGGCAAATAACGATAATAGTTCTCAACAATGCTGCCGAAAATCTAAAATTCATCAACAAATATGCAGTTGTCGTCATGAGACACGTGCAATGACACTTTCATCATCATTTGCCAGCAATTATCGAATGCTCAACATCACTAATATGATGACTGCGAGCAGTGTCAAAAAACTGTTGCCAATTTTTATACTCGTTAATATGCTTCCATTTTTGTATGCAGGTGAGCTCCTTTTTATTCAAATAACTAGTCACAATGATGGCTCAAATGAGTCAATAATGTTGCATGATAAATTACTTAGCGCATTATCACATCATAATGTACATTTAATGTGCTGTAGATTATTATCAATCTTTGCATCTATAGACACACACAAATGTGTTATTTTTGGTTGTGTACATAAAGTTTGTTTATGTTATTTACCGTCATGGATTAAAGCTTAAGATTAAGCTACCAATATTAATGTTGAATATTTTTTAACTTAACTGTGGGCGGTTTGGGATTATGATTCAATTAAAAACATAACAATGAGGTGCGGCGGTTGAATAAATTAATTTAATTGTTGACATTCAGTTCATATTTTTGGCGATAAAATGAAAGCTTTCTGTGACGAGGCGAATGTGAATGATTAATTGAATTATTTTTAAGGATCTGGCTATTTTTGGTATGAATGAGAATATATATTTTTTAGACTAGAGTTGTCTGAAGCCACAATCATGGAATGACGCATTGCTTAAGTAGGATAACTCGCTCTACCTTCGTCCTCTGAAACTAGGCTGTTATCTCAAGTAAATCATAAACCCTTTCCTGGTTTGCACTAACGGTGGCTGCAGTATCAAGCGAATTAAAAAACAATTTTGATTTAGCTTCGGGTGCCTAATACCTTTGCTAGGCTCTGGCTAGGCCTCTGACTAGTAAGACTAGGAGTATTGCAAAATCGGTCTCTAGAAACAATCATGACTTAAACTACCAAATTCATTATTAATCACAACTAATCAGTAACAATTGATTAAGTCTTCAACAAATTCTATTCAGAAGTTTCCAAAAATTAACAATGTGCTTCGTTAATTCAGAAAAAATATTTCTCATTATCTTTTTCGAATAATCAACAGAATTAAGACAAACTGAAAACTTAAATTAATCATAAGCATTGCTGACTTGAAGGATTGATCTACTTTATTCTGTTTTTAATTATGATAAATGCAGATTAATGAAAAGATAAGCAAACAAAGTCTTTTAAATACATTTTAAGCTTTATTTAATAGTGTTTATTAAGCAAATAAAATTGAGGATAATGAATGAACTTTAATTGAAGTGAAGAATTTTCTATAAGCCAAATCCCGTTGCTTTCTCATTCTTTAATTTAATATTAAAGTGAATCTATAAAATCGAGTGCCTTTTAAAACACCGAATTTCGAAACCTAATTTTTTCGAATTTCTTTTCTTCGTTTAATTTTCAAATTTTTAAAACTCAACTTAATTGTGCTGGTAAAGTTTCTTAAACATTTGAAAATTAAACAAAGAAAAAAAAATAACTTGTAACGGTTCGTAAAAATTTGAAAATTAATTGAAAAAAAAAATTCGAAAAAATGAGGTTTCGAATTTTTGAAATTCGTTTTTTTAAATAGGCACTCATAAAATCTAATTCATTAGGTTCATTAACTTGTAAAGTAGGCTTGAATCATCATGTAGCATCTCTATCTATTAAACTTTTATAAAAAATATTTTGATACATCCTGCAACATTCAGTAGCCAAAAATTTCAATACACTTTAAGCACAACAATATTGAATTTCCAGAATATTGTAACCCAAAAAAAAAGCTCATCTAATAAATGGCAAAAAACAATATTTTTCGATCGAATTCGACAATGAAAAATTCACGACACAAAACAAGAGAGAGAAAAATATTAAAAACCAATTTTGCTATAACATATAACATTGCAAGCAGCTTAGGATAGCTTGTAGTGAACAATATTGAGAGTTGTGAGTAAGGAAATAAATTTGATGGAATTTAAATAATGCGCATTGTCAAATAAAGTTTAAGAATTTATGTCGATTAATAGATCAAATGAGCTGGTATACTGCAAAAATCCAAATTTAGTCTTAATTAGAAGGCTTAGGTTCGAATCCTTGTAATACATATTTTAAGTTTCCGTTAGAGATTTAATTTGGAAAATCGTTTTTAAATTTTTGTTTTTAATTTTTTTTTGCTATAATGAAATTGTTAAACCAATGGATTTAAGATCATTATTTGGAAACTTTGTTGCCCATCGAATTCAAGCTCTGAACCAAAGTAGCTGAAAATAAAAATCAGACACAATTCGAATCCCATATTCAGCCCATCAAATTAACCAAAAAAACTTACACAATACAAAAAAAAATTCATAAATTATGACGTGTCAAAGTGTTGTGATGCATGACATAAGTGCTCTCGATGCAATGAATACTTAATTTCATTTGGGAGGGAAAAGACTTTAGGAAGAATAAAAAAAAAAGTTGCAAAAGTTTTCATGTTGCATGACACAGAGATTATTGATTATTCAAGAAATCTATATATAGAAGCTGACAAGCATATTGGTCAGCAGTGCATGCTGCTTCAATCCAGAAAAGCAATTTCTCGGCATATTTAAAAAAATCTAAATTAAAGTTTTAATTAAAAAGTTTACGATAAAAATTTTTTTTCCATCATTATAAAACAAGATAATTAACAATCTGCAGTTAAAATTATGGAAATTCTCGTGAGTTGCTCTTTATGAATGAAAAACTTACTCATCGAAAATTCCATTTAATTCTTTTTCATCATAAACAGATGATGATGATGATGATGATGATGGTGGAAGAATCTACATTAAATATATTTTTGTTCTTTTATCTGTTACTTCATTTGCTTTTGTTGCTTATGTATATTAAGTAGCTATAAATATGACTAATATATGTTGAAATACTATTCCTCTGTAAAGTGGAAAAATTGTTGCGGTTTTAAATGGCATGATGATGATACTGAGTATCCGTAGAGAAATTTTAACGTTGAGTACACTTTTTGAGGAAAACGATTTGTTTGATTTTAGCTGTTTAATCGCAAATTTAGGAATTTTAAACATTTTAATTCAGAATTTTAAGATTTTATTAAAATCAAATAGTTGTAGATACACTTTGGCCACTTTTTTGTGTAAACATAGCTCGTAGTTATTTGAAATTAGACTTCCAAAATAATGTTATCGCGAGAAAACTTTTTTAGGTGGAGAAAAAATGATAGCTGTAAAATTTGAATTTTAAAAAACCGTTAAAAGACTTAAACGCAGTTTACTCTACCTTTTATAATTTTTCGACCATAAATTTTAACTTAACTATTGGTTGCCACTTTTTTGCATTCAACCAGTTTGAAATCAATAACTTACAAGCTAACCTAAAGCTTTAATTGCAGAAAAACTTTTCGAAGTGGGCACTAAAATTTCAAATTTCAAAAATCTGTTAAAATGGCTACTTTAAAATTTCCAATTTGAGAAATATAAATGTTTACAAAGCGTTTTCAATTTTTCAAGATTTTTCATACCATTTTAATATCACGTTGCGATCAACATCACATCATGTTACTTGTGAGAACAAGTGACGAGCACATATAATGCATGCATAATCTATAATGCCTTCATTTTACGCTCTTACAAAAATCTTTCTTCTTTTTTAACATCATATTCGCACTAGTCAAACTGTTGTCAGTGTTATTAAAATGCCATACTGTACTTATTCTATGATTATCATTTAATTCAATATTTGCTCTTCTTTATGGTTCTGAAAAATTCCTACATTCCTTTAAAGTGGCTCTTGTCAGATTTTTCTGAGGAAATTACTGAAAAGATTATTGGAATTTTGATCCGATGAGAAAATTCCACATCAAGCTTGTTATTGTACAGCTTAACTAAACTATCAATAGCGTGAGTGTCGAAAGCATCACCGCAAGCCACCATAAATCATTTTCTCACTCCGATGTTTCAATTTTTGATTCATGACACTCATTCGTTCATTTCTATGGCATTAAATTTTCAATATGCAAGCAACAAAAAAAAATATGATTTATATTGCCATTTTTACTTTCATTGTGCCTTAATTCTCTTCATGTTTTGTTTTCTGCGCCAGCTATTAATCATCAAAAATGTACACAGTGTGAATAAAAATGTTAGAAAATTTTCTGCTGTTTTTCTCTCACTCGCAACTCGAAAAATTGTTAAACAAATTTATTGGCTTTTAATTTTTTTCCTCTATCTGCTGTATTTATGCCAAGGAAAGAAGAAAAGCAGATCTGAATATGAAATATTATAGCTGATTAATTCCTCTTAATTTAGTCAATTAAACCTGCAAATTGTTTGATTGAGATTGCGAGCGGTTGAGTTTGAAAAATTAATTTCAATCATCACTTGCTGTCGATGCCAAAAATTGTTGTGTAGAGTCGACTGGTGAGAAAGGAAAATGAGATAATTGGAGTATAGATTTCGTGGAAGTGACTGTGTGATTTTCGGGAAGTGGAATTGGTTTTTGTGGAAGTATGTTAAGAGATAAATCTAGTTTCGAGCTATATATATGCGAATCAGTCAGTGCTAGAGTAAGGACTCTGTAGCGTGAGTGGTTAGTTAACAGATCGGATATCTGTTACCTTCTTTGGTGAGAACGTGAGTTCGATTCCCACCAGAGACTGATTTCTCAATCATTGTATATCACGTCATTACAGACCATAATATTCATAGTCTGTGCGTTATGTGCGGTCACAGGTTATTGATAGTTTAACGAGGGAGGGTTCGCACGATCACCCGCTCAAAGCTAGACCTACAGTTTATTGTACTTTCCAAACCTCTCATTTAATGACATTTTTGCTTGTAACCTTCATATTGTGAGCTTCATTTCCAGTACTTATCAAGTCTCGAATCTATGATCGCTGTGTCAGTGTTATAACAATTAGGAACGGAAGTACTAAACCCTTCCGACATCAAGCCATTTCAGCTTTAGAAATAAAGTTAAGAATTCTAGCATAAACTATCAAAATTCTCTCAGAAAATCCAAAAGTTCTCAATTAATTCAATAAACGGAACCAACAAAACAAATAAAATACCCAATTTTATACTCAGTATATTAAATTTCCACTCGTAAAAAATTATATCCCATACCCAACAACAAAGTGTCACTGTAAATTAAAGTCCATTTATAACAAATTCCCGTAGAATGCAAACATAAAAAATGTCTTCGCACTCAAACAGTCATTAAAAAAAAGTTTCAACAGTGATTTTTCTTTTCCTGCTCATTTTATTTACTTCCACTGTCGTGAAATTTCTTTTTTTGCTGTTCTCATTTCGATTTGACAGAAGGCCTTGAATAAGAAAGTATAAAAAAGGAACCCAGATGTCCCCCCTCATCTATTTTGGGTATTTATTTGTAATGGAAAATGAAAAGTTCTGAGAATAAGAATGATTTGGACTTTTTCTTGGAGGAAGAATCTTTTGAGCTTGTAGGATGTTGCAAAAATTGAGCGTGTTGCTATTTGGGACAATTTTTTGTGCTGACTTGGCTGTTGAATTTAAGCTCGCATTTTGCTGAGTCAATTTTGGGTATGATGAAGAGGAAGATTGGTGTATTTAAAAGATATTTGACTGTTGATTATGCATTTTAGGTTCAATTCCCATTTGGTCTTCAATTTGTTAATTTTAAGCAGATTATAAACATTGCGGAACTCCACGATCTTATCGAAAACATTGTTTTGTTATGAACTAGCTGTTGACATTTGTTGAGAATCGAACTTGCGTCTTAGAACGAATTCAGTCTCTTCAGTCTCTTACTTAACCATTTAGACCATAAAAACCTTAATCTCGAACTGACAGATATTCTTCTAGAAGCTCAGTCCCTGAGATTGTCGATTCTCAATTGAATTGGCTACTAGAGTTAATAATAGGTTCGTTCACTTATGACATCTAAAATTAACGGTCATTTTTCGAAAAATAAGAATGGATTTCCAGGACCTGTGGATGTCATAAGTGAACAGCCCCTAATCTTTTTTTTAAATTCTCAAAGATCATCAAACTTTATGCCAATTCCAATTCCAACTGATATTCTCAAATTTCTTAACATTTCTAGCATCAAAAATCAACTAAAGTTTACTTATCAAGCTAAATTAGCTAATAATAGCCCCTTTTCTTATTTACAACGTCACTAATCTCTTCCATATCATTTAAAATACACAATTTATCCTCACAAAAACCAGCATTAACTTCCGTTGCACGTTTCAACACTTAAAACATTGTTTTATTTTATGTCGAGCAACAAGAACAAAAATTTTCTTTTTTTACGCGATGTTCAGCACACCCAAAAAATACCAACATTAAAAAAAGGACAAAAAAAAATTAATGCGAGAAGCAGTTGTAGCCAGCTCACAAATATCAAATATAAAATCAATTTGATTATGGCAATCGATAAATCTAGTTTGCTATAAACCTTGAAGTGAAGCTTTTGAAGCTCTATACAATTTTTCTCAATCACAAAACATCAATATCATCGTAATCCTTTCCATAAATACTCATTGTCGTTATTCTTTATGTATTCTATTCATTCCACTTTCGATAAGTCAGTCTACAAGTGCTCATTAGAGCTTCGAATACTTAAAGAAAGGAGAAAAAGAGTCAATTGAAGGAAATATTGAATTGAGGAAGAAGAAAAGTTGAAACTGTCGATTTGTGGATTATTTACGAGACTTTGAATTTTTCAAGAAATAAATTTATTCATAGCTTTTGGAATGAAGGTGATAATTGAGGTTATGTTCTTGAAATTTTGAGGGTTTGATATTTTTTTTGTCAGATGACTTGCAGTTGTGGAGGTGGAATAAAATGAAATTTTATTTAATTCTGCGTGGATGTGACTGATTTTGATGGTTTTGAAAAAGCTGCCGTTTTTGAATGTTAAATTTTTCAAATTTAAATCAACCGTTAAATATTTCAAATTTTTATCAACCGTTAAATTTTTCAAATTTAAATCAATAGTTAAATTTTTTCAAATTTAAATCAATAGTTCAATTTTTCAAATTTAAATCAACCGTTAAATATTTCAAATTTAAATCAACCGCTAAATTTTTCAAATTTTACTAAACCGTTAATATTTTTACATAATAAGTAAGAGTCAGACCTGCCATCAAATCAAGCAATTTTCTCCAAATTTACTCACCATACTTATCAGCAATTCTGCGCTAATTTCCCATAAACATAAATTTATTTTCATGCTCTAATTCCGATAATGTCCAATTCATGTTCTTACAAAATACCGACACTATGTAATGCCTTCTTGTACTACATATCTAAGCATTTAGTCTTGAAACTTTAATGAGGCTTGCGTGTTAGAAGTACATAAAGTTTTGTTTAATGCACTTGTTAACAATGGTCATTGTCAATGACTCTGTCTGGACATGATTGGTTATTAAGTCATGTTTAAAGTTGGATGTCTTTTAAAGTTTGATTTTGCAGCTGTTTTAGAATTAAGCATTACTCGCGGTTTTAATTCCTAATGGATTTCAGTTCTCTTGAACTTGATACCAATTTTGATTAGTCTTCATTTATCTCTTTAAGTCCTTCTTTGAAGAGCTTATTTAAGAATGAGACAGTAAATTATGATGAGCAGCTTAGAAGAGAGTATCATGTGAAAATGAAGCAGTTGTTAGCAAGATCTGGTAATTCTTAGGTTTTGGGGTGTCTGGAACTTATTGTAGGATTATAAGCTTTAGCTATGGTTGGACTGGGTGTGTAGTCAGACTAAGATTCAAACAAAGCTAAGGGTCGCATTCTTAGCAGCATTTTCTGAGCATCAATTCTCCAACAGCTTATCATCCTTATTAACACGATAATTTAACACCAAAAGTTAAGTCCCCGTCCCTTGGCAGTCAA